CATTAATCTAGTTTGACTGAACTCCATTTACAGTGCCTTGCAAAAGTATTCACTCCCTACCAATAAAGTCACATTTTGATGAAATTCAAATAATGTAAACAATTTTTTAACAAACTTGTTTTTATTCAAAACTCCAATGATCAAACTTAACACTGTTATATGTGAAGGAGGTTGAATGTCAGCAAAACTGCAAAGAAAATATACGAATTGAAATTTGCTGATTGCATAAGTATCCAGCCACTAAGTCAGTACTTGGTGGAAGCACCTTTGGCAGCAAAGTCTCTACAAGTTTTGCACAATGGGATGGTGTAATCTTTGCCCATTCTTCCTGGCAAAGTTGCTCCAATTCTGACAAGTTCGTTGGAGATCGTTGATGGACTGCAATCTTCAAGTCTCGCCACATGTTTTCCATTGGATTAAACTCAAGTCAGAACTTTGACTAGGCCACTCCAGGAAATTCACTTTCTTCTTTTGAAGCCACTCCAATGTGGCTTTGACCTTGTGCTCCTGCTGAAATGTAAATTTTCAACCCAGTTTTAGATTCTTGGCTGAGTCAAGCAAGTTTTCCTCTAGGATTCGCCTGTACTTTGCACCATTCATCTTTCCCATCGATCCTGATAAGTTTCCCAGTCCCTGCTGATGAGAAGCATCCCCACAACATGATGCTGCCACCACCATGCTTAACAGTTGGGATGGTGTCACCTGTACTTTGCACCATCCATCTTCCCCCTCGATCATGATAAGTTTCCCAGTCCCTGTTGATGAGAAGCATCCCCACAATATGATGCTGCCACCACCATGCTTGACAGTTGGGATGGTATTGACTGGGTGATGTGCTATGTTGGGCTTGTGGCAGACATAATGCTTTAAATGTAGACCAAAAAGCTAAACTTTTGTCTCTTCTGACCACAAAACCTTCTGCCACATGTCTGCAGTATCATTTACATGCTTTGTTGTAAACTCCATACAAGATTTAAGATTCTTCTTCTTCAGTAATGGCTTCTTTCATGCCACTCGCCCATACAGGCCAGTTTTGTATAGGGACAGGGATATTGTTGATGTATGAAAACCGACTCCCATCTCAGATATGGAAATTTGCAAATCTTTCAAAGTCACTGTTGGCTTAACAGTGGCATCCCTAACCAGTTTCCTGCTTGCCCGGCTGCTAAGTTTGGAAGGGTGGCCTGATCTGGCTAGTGACTGGGTGGTATGAAGCATATTCCACTTTTTAATGATGGACTTCACCGTACTCAAAGGGAAAATCTGTGACTTTGAAGTTTTCTTGTAACATTCTCCTGATCTGTGCATCTCTACCACTTTATCCCTGACTTGTTTGGAAAGATCCTTGGTCTTCATGGTTGATTTGTCATATCACTACTATCTTTGAAAATCTAACTTAACTTACAAAATATCAGCATATTTTTAGCTTTTTCATATGGAGAAGACTGTGTAGATTCTAAATATAAAGTCCCATCTGAAAGTTTAATGATTGCAAGCTCAGATGGTAACAAAATGTGGAAACTTTGCAGGAGGGTGAATACTTTTGCAAGGCACTGTATAACAACCCTCTGCTTTCTTCCATCTAGCCAGTTTTCTCCTTTAATGTAACATCTTGTCAAATGCTTTCTGAAAATCCAGATATACCAAATTCACACCTGTATCCTCACCTACATAAGCGGTAACCTCTTCAAATAATGTCAAAAGATCAGTAAGACAAGATTTTCCTCTAGTGAAACCATGCTGCCATATATATATAAATAAATAGTTTACAAACTATTGATTGCATTAAATGTTTATAGGCGATGAAATTAGCACTATAAAACAAAAATGAATTAAATATTGCAATACCATTGCGATATGTACATATATATATACATACAAATTGTTTTTAAGTTATTCACAATGATAGAATTAGAAAAAAATCCCAAATCATCTGTAATTAATGATTTTTCATAATACCATGGTTTTCATATTGTTTGCAATACTTAGATTTCCATATTATGAATCACCTTAAACTCTGCAAAGACGTCATCTAGTATCTCTACAAGTTTTCTTGCCAAATAGTAAACACTGTACTATTTTTATTTTTCTAGGATCAGCATGAATTTGTTTTCACTGTATTATATATCATCTATCATACACTGTGAGAAGAATCTTTACTATTTTTATTACAGGAAATCTAGGGACAATTATTTTCATTGAATAATTAGTTTATTTATTTAGTACAGTAGTCTTGTGAAAATTTGTATAGAATGGTCTTAATCATGTTTTCAGCTTGTTACAGGTTGCATACTGTTTTATATATGATAAATTTTCATAAATAACATTTTAAGAGTAAAGAGTAATTTAATCGTAAATTGTTGTACCTGAAGATGTCTATCATAATAAAAGAAGAGTACTTTGAATACATCTTAAGAAAAAACAAAGGAAGCTGATAATACAAATTTATTCTTATGTGACAATAATCAGTTAGTTGGATGTAATAGATTAATAAGCTCAATGATTAATCATTCAGCAAGTTCCACTAATCACCCAGCTTTATCATTATGACAGCAAGTGAAGTTCTCAGAGTAAAATGGCTAATGAATCACCAGAACTGATTAACTCAAATGATTGTGAAGAGTTCATTTAGGAGTAACTTAAGCACTGGTGAGAACTGAAACTTAAAAATGTACTTT